CCTTCATGTAAGGCGGCGTATTTTGTTTCTCCATAACACTCAACAGGGGGGGAGGGAAGGGAATACGATACAACAAAAGAACAAGGTATCGATTCCTTACTGCTCAATATCACTTGCTTTAAAACCACAAAGACAACAATGGAGGCTTTGTCTCAGAGCGCACCTACGAGTCTGTCATTCGGAGAAATTAAGTTTATGCCGTAAAACCTGAGCACTACTGTGAGCTTTTAAGTCACTGAGAAGGGCAGAAATTCGCCAACCCCTCTCCAAACCTCGCGCGGACAGTAAAACAAGAGAGAACGGTTAGAGACTGGACTGATGTGTTTTTATATTGCATTTTCTTGTAGTTGTTAGAGGGCCGCGTCAAAACTGGTAAAGTGGATTGTGAACAGGATTACCATGTGTGTTCAGAAGCTGATGTCCGAGCATACCCAACTGTCAAGTTATACCTCGGTTCACCAGGACCTGGAATGAATCAGGTAGAAACTCGGCAATTCTCACTTAACCCTTCAACCCCCCCCCCCTCAAGAGAGATTAGCATCTATTTTCTCCTTACAATATCACCCTGAATCACACCCTAAGGTCACGAGTATGAAGGAAATGATCACCAACTAAAGAAGTCTTGGGCCCTTGATTGCCAAACAAATTCTCCTTGTTAGCTCTTTAGAAAATGTATAAATAACAGTATGGAGAATAATTATATCTTAGGAGTGAAAATTTTAACCCTTGACACCTTAACATCGTTAAGGTGTCGAGGGTTAAAATTTTCATGCCTAAGATATAATTATTAATTCTCTCTACCATTTCTCATATGTTGCTTATGATTCTTGTTTCGAGAATTTGATGTCAGATCGAGCAGTATTCCCTTCTTGATATTTTGCTTTCTTATGAGCTTTCTTCTTAATGTGTGGATGAATTAAGGAGAAATTCCTTTCTGGTCACTCCTGAGAGTCAGTGAAATGTTTAACATAAACCCCCTTCGTTTTTAAGAACGTACGCTCAGAGCACCCAGTGATAGATAGAGGAATGTCTATAATTCCAGGAATTTCAGGACAGTCTTTTGCAGACATTATCAGTTTTCTTTATTCCCACATTCTTAGCCTGCGTAGCGGGCAGTATTATGTGCGCCTTAAAGGGATGAGAACCTTTCGCGGTGTTGCCGCTCATTTTCACGGCTGCGCCCCTTTGGCTTCAAAACGCGCACCAAACCACTAGCTACGCGGGCTCAGGATACATTCTCAGCTTTATAATGGGATAAAGTCGTCCTTCTTTATTTCCTCAGCCAGTTAACGGACACATGAATATAGAATCTCAAAATCCAAACGAGATACGGGACATAGTGCTTCAAGCCTTGGAGGAATACAAGGCGGACTTGGAAGACGAAGCTATCGAAGAAAGAAGAAAGACAAAGACGAAACCAAAAACGGTGAGACGTTTGGATTAGCTTTCTGCACTGTTGTCTTTAGATGTAAAACATCAATTCTCTGCAGCACGTTTATCGTAATTTACGGGGCGGGGCGGGGACGCTTAAACGATGACTCGCCCCCTCAGCCTTGCCTGAGAAACGCAAAAGAAAAAGGGAAAAATTCGTTTATGCTCGAGAAGAATTGACGTATTGTTTTGTGGTCGCTCTTGCTGATCTAATTTGGCGGCTCTGCGACTGAATCTGAAAGGGAACAGTCAAATTTTCATAGTGTTGAAAAAAAGGAGAACAGGAAGGACTACACTAAAAAATTAACTTTTCTTTTGAATAACCAGAAATAAGTCGTCAAATGAAAGAATTCATTTCGAGCTCAAAACAACAAAACCAAGATGGCTGCTACACGACAAAAGGAGTACCGTAGCCCGCAGTCCTCAGCGGCAAAAACCACAAAAGGGCGGGAAAACGAGTAGTTTTTGAACAAATCCTTCTTTAACAATAATCTCTTGCTGGAAGAATAACTCTGACCATACTATATGGAGGTAGTTGTGTGCCTTTAATGTTCCGAAGATTTGGTTTATTTGGTTGATTTGTCTTGTCTTTTTTTTTGTTCTAGAAGAGCAAAAAGAAGAAAAACACACCGGTACATGATGAATTCTAGACGACTGAAAAAACAACTCTCTAAGATCACAAGAGTGTTATTTAGGGCACACTCAGGATTGGGTCTTTTTTAGAAATTCGTGACCCTGTGTCCATGATTAAAGCCTTAGTTTGGCTATATTACCTGCCCACGTTGCTTTGCACATAAAAGTCGAGATTTTATAGAAAAATAAAAGGAATTTTTATTGGTATTCTCAGCATTGTTGTCCATCACATATCTCAACGACTTATAGAGTCGCTGATACTTCCATCGTTCTCAGCGCGAGCACAGGCTGTCCCAGTTCCCTTTGCAGCAATTCGTTTAGATGTTACGCAATGCTCCAAACACCCCTTCCCACAAATCCAAAAATCCGATGCGTTGAAGGTTGTGTGTGTAGCGTGTAAGCACAGCTAGCCCAAGCTCTGTCACAGGCTCTTTCACAGTGGATTATAAAAGAGTTTGTATAGTGGTTTAGTTGGACTTGCTTTTGAGCTCCGTAAATGTAAAGTTGTGTGAAATAATCAAAGAAATAGTCTTACCTTCATAGAGAGTAGTATGCGTTGTTCTCCTCGCGATTTGAGGCCGTTTTGGTGTGTTTTAGCTTGACACCCTGATCACCACCGAGTCACGTACACAAGATACGGGAGGATAGGAAACTTTCTGTTGACACATGCTCGCCAAAATCGCTGGAAAACAACACGCGTTATAGTGACGGAATACTGCTATCTTACCCGAATTTTAAAACTTTAAAAACCCTAGGCGACCGTGCTTTCGTTGTCTCGGCGCCGAAACTCTGGAATGATTTACCTTCGGAAATTAGAATGGCTAAATCTGTCGACACTTTAAAAAAACTCTTAAAGACACATTTTTTTAGTAAGGCTTTTTATTCTTAGTTAGCTTGGCTTTTAATATTTTATACTACACATAATGTAACTGGCATCTATTACAAAGCATTGTTGTAATGATGTAATTAGTATTTATTCCATGCATTGTTGTAATGCGCAGTTGATCATCCCGTCATGGAAACGGCGCAATATAAATCCACAATTTATTATTATTATATTACTTAAATACTTTCTCTTGAATCAAAACTTGGGAGCACGAAAGCCAAATAGTTGCCCTTTAAGTTCACGGAAAAATTCCCACAAAAGTTGGTTTGTCGAGCAACCAATCCAGCGAGAATTTCAAATTAACGGCCGTTCTGAATTCTTCTAATGCGTGGAAGGAACATCTTGTGCAGCTGAGAGACTGTTAATGCGCAGTCAACCTGGACCCAAGTCAAATCTCTCTCAACGGGTCCTCCCCATAGTCTTCTAACACCAACCCTTCACACATACTAAGGAACCCCGGGTAAACTCATCGACTTGATTAGATCGTCGATACTGTCCATCTTCACTGTTTTCAATGGATTTTTACAAATATCCCCTTACCAGGGGCATATACTTGTTTGGTCTATAAGATCGAAAAAATCGAGTGATGTTAGTGGCAAAATATGCTACTTCTACTAACACAATCTGTAAAGGCCCAGCAGCCTGGCATCTTGATCGAGGGGAGACTAAGGCGTAGAGTCGGGCAAGGTTGAGGCACTGTCTCTCAGGAATAGGAAGTGGGCCTCTGAATCTATAAATAACGCGCATTTTTTAGCTCAAGCGAGCATCGCTGTTTTTTCAACAAATATCCAGAGTATGTGTGATGATAAAACATGTTTCCATATCAGATCGTGCTTAGAGGAAACTGAGTAGATTTGTGGAAGCTCCGTCTTAAACTAGCGTTGTTGTTGCCGTTTTTCGGCGGTCGTTGTGTGACACTTTTCCCAGTCTCGATCGCCGCACCCATCCCTATGAAACTTAAAATATCAGGGCCGTAAAGAGGTGCAGAAAGATCTCACTTTTCATCCATAGTTTGTGATCATGATCCACCAAAATTTGCCTCTGATCATGCACTGATCTATGGTTGTGATCCTCGATCCCAGATACCTGATACCACATACCTCTCGGTTACGACCCCTGAAAATTTCACATCCCATCTGAACAGTTTCAACGTTATCTGAAAGCACAACTGCCAAACGAACAGAAAAACCACAAACAATAAATACAACTATGCGGAAACGACAACACGTCAAGAAAATAAATAAACGGCCGTCGTACTAATGTATTTGTTCTAAAATGCGCACTTCTTTTATTGGTCACGTGCATAACCCGAGGCCTGCTTATTTTTTCTTCCCTTCTTGCGTGATCTTTCGACGCTGGCGCGCGAGTAGACGTGGCACGTAAGTTCATGCACTATTATTTGACGGACTACTTATCCTTAGAACTAGATTATACAATTAATTTAGGTGGTAAAAGAGAAAAGAGAAAACCATCACATCCAGGATTTACGTGATGCGTTAGATCGTACAGGAGTACAACCTAAATGGAAAGTATCGCTTTCGAATGTCTATTCCGCATGAAAATTCGACAGATCGAGTTACTGCCTCAACTTGTATACCTCTGAAATTTCATTTCATTGATGTTTAATATTTTTAGGGCCCTGCTAGTCTAAGACAGGGACCGTAGAATCGACACAGGTGGTTAATGATATTGCATGTTCAGTAGTCTACCGTGAGTAATGAAGATGACACGTTTGCGTTTATTGCACGTTGTCTTTTAATTGTTTGGATATAATGTTGGTATCTAAGAGTTTTCTTTCATCGCCAAATTAACCTGTCGATTTCCTTTCGCCGTGCTGCTATGTCTCCGCGATAAGATATAATTTGACGGAGGCGGATTTAAGGGATATCTCCTTATCTCCTTTCCACCCTAACACAGATGATAATTGTTTGATTAAATTTCCATTTGATAACGCACCGTATTAAAAAAGCTTTCATTCGTATTCCGGCTGTTCGCACAAAGTCTTGCGCCAATCAAAGATCTTAATTTCTTACAGGTTCATGCGTTCAAAAGTTATTCGTAATCTGAAATGTGTTTGACAACAATTTCGCTCCGTGGACTATAGAGGTTTCGACTCAAATAAGCGTTCTTTCTACCTTGACAACTCCGAATTTTCATTAAATTTCTGGAGATGTTGCTAAGATCTCGGCTTGTGTCACATATATTCGGAGAGAATTTACCTATCATGGCAATTTAAACTTCGTGCAATCCATCGTAGAGCTTTTAAAAGACTTGGCAAATTTTTATTGTTTAAACGTCACGTAGACAACCTACAGACGTTGAAAAACTTACTTTGCATTCATTTGACCGAAAGCGCAACTGTAAATACAGAAAGTGTATTTGTCCTTCGGAAACATCCACTTTGAAAGGGTCCAAGCGTAGTCTTGTCAAATCAAGACCAGCCAATTTTTTTATTCATGAACAGTCAACGAGTTTACCTGTCATTTTATGCGTAAAATTCAACGAAATATTTCTTGAAGTTCAAAGCATAGCGCGTTGTATTTACAACGGCTCTTTGTGGGAGGTGTTACCGTGTATAGGCATGGACAAGGCGATTCACCCCTGAAATGCCATTTTTACCGCGACTTGTCTACACATAATCTCGAGGATAAAATTAGCAGAAATGTTAATTTAGATTTTGATGTCCGGTCATAAAATTTAAGAGGTGAAGTAGAATGATGCTTTTGTCCTTGGCAACCGAATATTTTCCATCTTCATTTACATCAGAATATTAATTTGTCAGACCTGAGTTATGATCCAACGCATTTCACCAAATACATAAGGGTTGCGAGGTAAAAAATGCGCATAATGGTGCTTTCATTTTGCCTCCCCTGACTCGGTTCATCAGTTCCTTAAGTGCAAAAGTGTTGATCGATGAAATTCCTGGCGGAGAAGGCTAATATGCCCCAAGGCTAGACTTCACTTATTAGCAAATGTTCTCTTCGCGCGTTAAAGTCGGAAAAAAGAAACATTCTTCGTTAAAACATTCTTGTAGCGAACATTTTCCGTTTATTTGTTTGCTTCGAAAGTGGAAGGACCCGTGCTGTCGTATCCTAGGGTGTTCCATGATAAAATTCTCATTGAGTTTTGATTTGATCGTTTTATAGGAGAACAATGGCATGTTCTCTACATTTTGATCACACGGGAATGAGCAGTCAAGAGAGCTCTCCTTTCATCTAAAAAACCGGCTGGTTTTTCACCATCTCAGTTATAGCAAACAGTTAACGGCAAACGTTAAGTCCAAAAACTGAAACTCTTGCCGTCTTCTTTCAACCGTTTGAACACTTCAAATATTTGCATAGCTGTAAAAAAGGGATCTCAGTCGCTTTTTTATAAACTAAGGTGGTTCATAATCAAGGGGGAAAAATGAGTGTTGTGAGTAAATATATGCTGTTTACATGCATTTACGCTACTGGTATTTTAAAATTCGCCATTGCATAAGAATTTTCGTAAAAATTCCGTGTATGTGATCTAAAAGAAGTGAAGCGTGTCCAATGAATTGAAACAAGGGCTCTTCCAAATCGAATTATATACCAGATTTTTTAAGCTCATAACACAAAGCAAAGCAAAATCTAGCATAGAAAGGCTTCGAAATTTTGGTCTTAATTCGTGATGCCCAGAGTTTATATCTCCATTTGGTGTTTATCTCAGCATCCAAGGGTTGGGTTTGTTGTAGTATACAACAAATGTTATCTAAATAACATGGGCACTTCGTAATGAGAAAATAATGACCCTTGCCTCCTTTGAGAGTTCATCAAATATTCAAAACCGTACTGCATTAAAATTAGGGAGGTTAAGCAACCACGACGAAAGGGACGCCGACGACGTCAAGTAATCACGGAGGGTCTGGAACGAGGACGTCGTTTTTAGCGGGAAAATGAAACTTAAGCAGTGAAGTTGCTCAAGGACGACGACGTCTGAAATTTTTGTTTGTTCTCGCTTCGTCAGTTTAAGAAATGACATCGTTCAGAGACCTCCAAAACCTTCTTCTCAGTCCTGGATCAAATTTTCACCTTTATCGGAAGTTCGAGAGTGTAAGTCATTCAATTCTTGAACAGCAAAAGTCCAAGGAATTGTTAAGCTTTAGCTTTATTTACAATAATTTGCGCATGATAAAAGTTTAAAATGTAAATTTTACGGAAGTTATATGAGATTTAAATTCAGTTCTAAGTGTTGCTGGTATAAACAAACCTCTTTTGCCCAAGGCTTGCCTGATTTTCAACATGCTTTAGCCTGATATGTTCTACCTCTGATGCTCCTTCCTTTGGCGAGCAAACGACACAAGTCTGTCAATTTTAATCAATGCTAGCTAGCGATCGGCACAGATCAGCCGTCGCGCTTCACACAGGAATACTATTTTTTCCCGTGGGATTTTGTCGGAATTAATTTTTATGGCTGTGAATCTAGATCTTTATCAAACATTTCGAAAATAGATTCGCAAAACCTGAGAGGTATTCAAACTCATGTTGACACACCGATCTGAAGAATTCTTTGCTGTTTAAAGCGTCTCGACGGAAGAACAGCAACACGCAAAATGTTTTAGCAGCAATAAACCGACAGTGCCATACAAATAGCTTTTGACCGAACGCAGAGGTGTATTGCACTGCCATTTAAACCTTTTCATTCAATAAAAATGATAAACTGCACTCTTTCATAAAATATGCTCAAATAAATTTAAACCTAACGCGGTCGCTTTCACCGCTTGACTTGACATCTGTTGTGCGGAAGAAGGAAAATGAATTAGTGGGTTTTCGAATTTTATTTGTTTAGAAAACTGAACAGGGAGGTTTAAATCAACCGAAGAAGCGAATACAAACTCCAACCGGCCATAGACTGTCAAAAAAACGACAATAAAGCCGCACCTTTTGATAAGAAAAACTGCTTTAAAGTTCAGAAGTTCACGACGACGTGAAGCTGGTCCATCTCAAGTCGACGATAAGACGACAACGTAATTCTTGGTTCGCGCTTGCGCAGTGACGTTCTCGATACTTCCGGTCGTCGTCCTCCGTTCGTCGTCGTGGTTTCTTAAGCTCCTTATTGCCTCTCGTCAATAACTTCCCTTCGCTGGAGGCGTGTCGCAAACTACCGGCTTTGCGTCAGCAAAACCATAGCCGTATTTTGCTACTGTGAGTCCGCATCGTGGTTCAGTGCAAATAATGCCGTAGAACAGTAAGACATTATCCAAAATTGATCTGCATCACAAAATATCTAGACTGTTTTGTTTTGTTTTGTTTTAACGACTAGGGCTTTGTTAAAACCACTCGTCAGTAAGCGCTGATTGCGGCTCAAATCCTGCGAGACTCCACTTAGAAATTTTTTAATGGATTTTATTTTGTTGTCTCGTTCGTTTCTGGTCCAGGTAATTTTGTAAATTGTGATACCGGCTAGTGGAGACAAGGGTTTGTTATTCACGTAACAACAATTAGAAGGGTAAAGTTTTCTGCTGCTCATAGCTCGCTCATCGTTTTGTTTCTACGAAACAGGCCGAGTCATATGAAGACTCCCAAATCCACTTTGCCTTGAATGATTAACACTAAATCTTAAACAGAGTTTCAAAAAGGTTAGTTCAGCAATTCTATTTTTCTTTCACTCATATCTCAGTAATTTTCGATCGGAACTTTATTGCTTGTGTTACAGGGCGATCTAAATTTAGCAAAGTAGCCTATGGAAACCTATATTTCGTCGACAGTCCCATTGATCACGTCTAACCACTGTTCTGACAGGCCGCTGACTAGCCGTCACTGTGACCACAACAATATTGAATTCGCACAATTGTTCCTGACGGAAAATGTAAACAAGTAACCTAGAAAAATTTAATCATGAATATTGTTTAAATGAGTGCGCCAAGATGTGTTAAAATGATGCGACATAGAGGTTTGCCTTTGCATGAACTATGAGGACGAAATTCGAGCGACGTCCAACAAGTAAAAATTGACGTGGATGTCGAAGGTGGTTTTGATGTCAAGTACCTTTGTGCAGAGTTAATAGAGGGAACTCTGCTTTGTGTAATGAAGAAATATGCCAGTGTCTGTATATTCCATTTGAAATCGTCTGAAACTAGTTCGAGATACTGCTTGGTTTTATCAACTGAGTAGCTAGTATTGTAAATTGGCCACCGTCGATAGTTTCTAAAAAGCTGACGTTTGGTGAAGAACTCACTAGAAAGATTTTATGTATGAGGCACGATCCTCGCAGTAGATAGCACTATTTATGCAATAGCGAAAATCAGACCTGGAAGTTTTCGCTAACATCGTTAATAAAAAAAATGGAAACTGATCTTAAGGGCGTTTTCTACGTTNNAGGGTCTTCGTTTTCGTACTACGAAAACGAAGACCCTGCATTAGCCAAAAGAATTGCTTACTTTTTAACGAGAATTTTCCAGCAGAGAAAGCTTAACGACCGTCAGAATCTATTTTAGCTACGAAATACAGTAGAAATCGATTATTCATTGACAGAACTCAAGAGTCATTTTTCCTGTACAGAACACCTTCTCTGTCATTCTGTCACGCAATGCTAACTATAAATCAAAGGCGGCTGGCGTTGGAATTCTGCCTGCTGTTCCAGATCAATAGTATATGTGTGGTAAGTTTACCCGAGGAAACCCTCGAGAATATCAACACCAAATTGGCTCGCATAGCGAAACAGAACACTGACGGGACGGGCCGTATAATAATACGGGTAGTATAATAATACGGGCAGTATGATAATACGGGCAGTATGATAATACGGGCAGTATGATAATACGGGCAGTATAATAATACGGGCAGTATAATAATACGGGCAGTATAATAATGGGAAGAAACGCGTGAAGTGTAATGTATTATATTACTAAGCGTTGTTACTGTTTAATGTGCATTTAACTTGTAATTTCTACGGTTTTCTGTTTACAGGGGTCTTCGTGCGAAAACGAAGACCGGGTCTTAGGTCTTCGTTTTCGATGGTCTTCGTTTTCGTAACACCCGCTAGAGCTAGCTTACAATATAGATATGAAATTCGACGATAAAAATTTCAGAAAGCACTAGAGTTCCCGTAGATTAGAATTTCAAAATATCACATCCGGCTCGGCAAGTAAGGGTTTGAAACACTCTCAAGAAACGCGCTTTAGAAGCATCATTTTTAGCTAAATTGGCCGTGAAGGAAGACCAAGCCAATTTCATACAAACGTTTCGATTTGATGCAGATGCTGCAATCCATGTAACCTTGTTTGATCTAAGAGGCTAAGGAAAATTATGACGCCGTCCGAACTTTGCTGCCGACCTATTAGATAAATCTTGTTATTTTTTTGCTCAGTTCGCCTGCGATCTGATCGCTTCTGGGAACAGGCAGTCACCCATCTGGCCCCTTCTCAGCGGGTGGTATCCGTTTCGTGTTGAGTCGCTTTGCAGAACATCTCTAGCTTCGTTGCAAATTTTTAGAAATATATCTTGTTTTGCCAGCTGGGCAGCATTTTTAAGCCTTCCGACGAAGGTCTAACGCTCGAAACGTCAGCTTTTGTAATCGTTACGGTGGCCAATTTACCACTTCAACTATGTTGATATATCCAAATTATTTTTAAGCAAAGACTACGGTCACGACCTTTAGCCGATAAATAACGTAATTCTCTCTCCCATCCTTCCCTGGAAATGAACAATACTTTCTGTAAGATCTCTGAGCGTTTTATAAAGAGAAGATCGTCGCTGTCGTAGTGTTTTAGTTATCCCCGTTTTGGTTATTCCCTGGTGAAGAACAGAGTATTCGGGCGCGAAATCATGAAGCCATGTGCAAAAATATGGGTCAAGTTTACCTCTTGACCAACCCTTGCGTAGGTTGTACTGTATTTCCCATATTAGGGAACTTAAGAAACCACGTCGGCGACGCTAAGGAAGACTTCGATTAAAAAATGAATTTCTACTCTTAGTTAGAATTTCAAAAATGGCTGCAGGAGCTTACTGTCTCATACAGAGCCACAACTCAACTTCAGCATGACGTATAAAGTAGCCGTTGAGTTCCAAATGGAAATTTAAAAAATTTGCCGTCGCGGTTTCGGTTCGCAGACGACGCAAATTTTGGCGATTTCAAGTTGTTGTTTTGAATAGGACGGCTAAGAATTGCACAAAGTTTTAAACCGCATGTGCTGAGCTATCGTTCTGCCGATTAGATCTCTTGTTTTTCACGTCATTGTTGCCGTCGCCGTCGTGGTTTCTTAAGGTCCCTATTATCATGACGGTGCACGACGATTTTAGTATATTGGCCAGCATGCACAACTACGCAAATTGATATAATTTCCTTTTTCCTCACAGCTTTTCGTCATACGAATTCTTCATCATTTACTCAAAGCCCTCGCGGATTGTCTTTATCAGGACACAAACCGCTTGAATACAGTGGTTTCGATTCAATACAAGATGGGAATTGGGGATCCCACACGGAGTTATTTATCCAAAGTCCGTTGCCGCTACATACTCTTCACCGTAGTTCTTTTAATTGTGGTGGCACTCTATGTCACAATGAACTTAAAAAACTACGGTCTCTACACCGGAAATCATCCTTTTTTCTCAGCTCAGCCGTGTCAATACCTCGATTCTAAAGAAAAAGGACAGCTTTTGAAGATGGCGTATACAGTCCATAAGATTCTTGACGACTTTGGTATAGACCATTGGCTCGTATACGGATCTGTTTTTGGCGCTGTGCGGGCGCACGGTCCTTTGCCATGGGACAATGACGTAGATATTGGTTTTAACGGCTCGGGGATATTCGCCACGATGGATTTTAACAAGTTTTTAACCGCTTTCGAAGACAACGGATTGAAAGTTTATCACAGAAGGTGGATCACAAGCAACGTGATGAAAGTTTACAAGGATGATCAGCCTCATATCAAAGTAGATTTGTTTGCTTTTTATAATTATCGTGGATGGATGAAACGTGCTGGACTAGAAACTTGGCTCTTTGCATTGAATTATAATTTACATGATACGTACCCGGCGAGACTAGTAGAGAAACCTCTTCCTATGGTTCGATTTGGTTATTTTAAATTACCGGCTCCAAGAGAAGGCCTTACAATTCAACGATACCTTTACCCTGACGACTGGTGGAAAGAAGTAAAACCTGTCACTTGTAAGTAACGCAATGTTATGTCTGTTGCGTTACTAGCAACCACAGCGAAGATCCATTTTATTCCTTATCATATAAGGGCAAAATTACTGAATTGTGATTGGTCAAGACAGAGGGAATTTTTTTCTTAATTTTTGTAATTGCCCCGGGCAAAATTACTTGAAAATGTTTGGCTGAAAATCGCTTAGCAACGGCTGCCAAGATAAAGAAATGTCTGTTTGAAATTTCTCGTTTTGCGCCAGATCAGTAAGAAAACCTTTTGCCCGTTATATTATAAACAAGTAATCATATGGTTCCTCGTAAAATTAAGGATTAACACCAATTGTGTTTTCGGAAGTTGCAGAAATTGCCCTCGTTGCTGCGCGACTCGGGCAATTTCTGCAACTTCCGAAAACACGCGTGATATAATCCTTAATTTTACTCGACCCCATGCGATTACCTATACTCATTGGGGGATGATAAATTTGCAATTTTCTTTTGAAAGGTTCGCTCGTGAACAAATGTTTATAGTATCAAAAATATCATTTTTATATCTTGTCATTTTTAAAAATTTTTTTTGACGTTGATTTTGATACGACACGGTATATTTTTTGGAAACCAAAAATTTCTGACGACTCATGCAAATTTATCACAGATTACAAACCGAGAAATGAAAAATAATTCACATCAGACGAAGAAGCCTCATAAGTTTTTGATAGTTCTCCCTTTTAAATAAATCTTTCGAGAGCTATCTTTGAAAATATAATCATGACACCAAATTTTTTATCGGCCATGGCTTCGTTCAATTGTAATGTAAAGATAAAACATACTTTTCCATTGGCCGTCGCTTCGTTCAATCAAAATATAATGTCAAACATTAGATACAAGCGCGAAAGATATTGTCGTACTAAGGGCAATATGGGGATTTTAACGCGCAAATTCCAAAGGAAGTTCGTCGACTCAATTTTTCCATTCAAGCTTTTTTTTCTTAAATTTTAGACGATTTCGTTTATGTTTCTTTGGTGAATCTGGGTTAACCCTAAAATTCTTTCAAATTAATATGTAAATTCTCTATACCGTACTCTATGCATTTCCTATAGTTCTGGCAAGGAGAATCTCCTTAGCAATCAGGAAATTCTCAAGTTGGCAGTGGTTTCTTTTATTTGATTCAACAGTAATGAAGCAAGGAGAACTTTTAAGGGTCGACGGGTAGAGATAACGCTAGTTTAAATGGGCTTTTGACGCGTCACATGTTCTTCCATCAGCTAGGATTACGTGACAAGCAAAAAAAGCCACTTTTTATTCGTGATAAACCAGCATACATAATGCTGGGATTAAAGAAATTAGGATACAACAAATAAGTTATGATTAAACTTGAGAGTGATAATACGATCTTGAGGTTTCATTACAGACCAAAGTTTCTTCCATGCGTTGGTTAATCTCAGCTGTCCGACTGCTACTGAAATTCAAGGACTTCAAAAGATAACTTTCCCTTATCGTTGAGGATCAGGGGCCCGTTTCTCGAAAGTCCCGGTAACTTAACGGACCTGTAAAGCGGTTCTGTTTTCATTCAGGATAGAATTTCAAAAGTTTTGAAAACAACAAAATGAAACCATCAACTAAAGAAACAAAATGGAGTGGTTTGGGGGCAAGAACCTGCTTTTATATCCTTTGAATTTTTATTTTAAAACATGGCCTCGGGCCCGCTAAGTTACCGGGACTTTCGAGAAACGGGCCCCTG